GGCGGCGGCGGCGGCGCGAGGTGGAAGTTGGTGAAGAAAGAAAAAGGGAACGGCACTACGATAGGTGGTGTGAGCTTTAAACAGACTCCCAAGTCCCAAGTCCCAACCTATGCTAATGGGTCCCGCAGTGTCAAGGTTCCAAATCTGACCGAGTTTTTTTCCCTTATTTAATAAAATATTGTTGCTAGTATTTATGTTTTGCGAGAAAACAAATATTAGAATTTATAAGCTAGCTTATCAACTATCAGCTAGTTTTACCAAACATAGTCGAAGCCACTTAAACACTAAAATAGGACATTAAGATTTATATTTTCGTGTAAAAATAAAATCACTCATAAAATATACACCATTAAGAGAATCGAAAAATATATAAGATTTGTTGCTAAAATATGTAATAATTATTTTTATAAAGTGAACACCCTTAAAAGAATAAAAAATATAAATAAGATTCACAGCTAAAATATGTAATAATTATTTTGCCCAAGTTATGGTCGTTGAGAAGGGTTGTTATTTGAGTAGACTGAGTAGTTGATGTTCGAGCTCACACTCGTGCTTGTTTAACAAATGAGTCGGCTCGACTAAACTTATTTATTAGATGAGCCAAAAACTCAGCTCATTTAAACTCATGAAATCGTAAAAGCTCAATTCAGTAAATAAAATTGAAAGCTCAACGAGTTGTTTGCACATAAAATGTCCTTACATAAGTAAGAAAACACAAAATAGATAAATAAACTCAACTCATTAGTAATTCAAGTTTGAGTTAACAAGAACATAACCCAACGGTGTTCATAGCTCTGCTCGTTTGAAAATATACTTATTTTCACATCGGGACATCTCATTTCTAATCTAGAACCTTTAGTTAAGGGAAGGCATACTAAATGGCCCAACATTTGTGATGTATAACCTTCGCTGGTTCTCGTTACATTAGTGTAATAAAAATTAAAAAGTTACACACCTAATGGAGTGGAAACAAAAATATATAAAAAGTACGGATATATAGTTAACTCCCAAATGAAATCAGACAAATATGATGATAAGTCCGTCCAACTTAAAACCGACTTCAAATCACAATCTAAATAAGGCTGCTGTAAACTCAGTAAAATTCTTGGTCCAATGACCATTAATAGCAGCCATAGCAAGAGACTTCATTAGCCCGAATGTGGTAAAAATACAGGTGAAAATATTCTGCTCAGACACTTCACTTGATTAAAACTCTCGAACAAAATGTTGAAAATCGTGTTCATTCACCTCCTATTTCTGCTCTCTTCTTTGGCACTCTCCCGCTTCTTATACAGTTTTTCTAGTTGGCGCTTGGCCTCACAATTAGGAAAGTTCGTCAGATCATAGTAATGAGGTGCAATATCTACCAACCTGCAATATTCAAAAGATGGCATTTAACCAAAATCCAAACGCAACTTAAATTAGGACTATTGCCAATATGTCACAAAATGTGGATCATAGATACTTCCACTCAGTTTCAAGGATATTTCGGAAGAAAAGCCAATATCCAAAGAGAGAAGATGAAGTCAAATTTCCACATGATGGTACTATAAAACCCACCATTCACCACGAATATCTGTCACAGTCCGGATGAAATTCCTGCTTGTAAGTACATACTCATTGTAGATAACCCACTCCGGCTTGTGGTCAAGGCAATTTGAAGGATGCAGGTGAACAATCTGCGAGGTGTAAAATCAAATAAGCTAAATACGCAAAAAAAAGGGGGCAAGACGCATTCAAATATATAAATTAGAGAATATTTATCATGAGACAAACCTGGTTGTCTTTCACAGTCAAATAGTGGCCTGTGCGCTCCAAATGGGCAACCTGCATGAAGTAACCAGCCAGCATAGCCTTACGGATGTTCACATAGTAATCACGGCTGTTGAAATCTGTGCTGCACAGCTTCAGGTTGAATCTGGCCATAATCCGAGCTAGCTGCTGTCTCACATTGTCCGCAGATTTCAATGCCCTGTGGTTGATAAAATTCTCATAGCACCACTGCGGATCTTCCTCTACAGTTGATATAAGAACGAGCAAGCATTAGCACAAGCGCCATATTTTTTGTTCAAAAAGAGAAAAGGGAGAAAATTGATGGAATTGAATCTATCACTTACTGTTTTGCTTGTAAGCATGGTACACATTCAATAGCGTGAGATGATCCCCATCAATGTGGCCAAACCTGGCTTTAGCTTCATCTGCAGCCTTTTGAGCTTCCCTAGGCCGGACAAAGCAATTGGGTACTAGAGAAAAAAGTGGTTATCACAGAGGAGGCCCACGGAAGGTCAGCAGATTGTATAGAGGCGACAGACGGCAACATTTGCTTCAAATACTGAGAAACTGCAACTATCTGCATCAGCACTTACTTAGAAATCCTTGGTACATGCCAGACGAGGCATGAAACCCAGACAAGAGATGCTGATGACAACCCTAAACACAGACACTCAAATATCCTAACCACAAACACGAATGTCTCTGCAACTCGTGTATGAGGTTAATATATTTGTGAATTACATTTACACAGAAGCTTATCTGTGCATGTAAGACAATGCATACACTTCACAAATTGTGAAGCACATGCTAGACTAGAAGATATCTACTGCGCAGTAGATACCCGACATCCTTACCTTAGAAGGGAAAAAAGTAATGTAGGTAGAGTTATGTACCTGAAAGCATGGCGGATATAGACAGGATTTCGTTGGAACAATTGAAATCCGGGCTGACAACAAGCATTTTCGCCATCTGAGGATCTAAGGGAAGCTCACTCATGACCTCACCCAACTTGGTCAAGTTCCCATCATCATCAAGGGCTCCTAGGTAATTCAAGACCTCCAATGCTCTCATCAGCGTCTCTGGAGCAGGTGGGTCCATAAAGTCAAAATGGACCAAATCATCTATCCCCAACTTCTTCAAAGTCAATACAGTATTGGCAAGGTTCGAACGCAATATCTCCGGATACGTCTGAGGCACAAGATCGTTATTGAAACTCTTTTCAGTGTAGAGCCTAAAACATTTTCCAGGTTGCGTTCTTCCAGCACGACCCGACCGCTGGTGAGCACTAGCCTTCGAAATAGGAGACACCAAAAGCGACTCAACACGAATTCGCGGGTTATAGACTTTTTGTTTAGCAAAACCAGGGTCAATGACATAGACTATGCCATCGATTGTTAAGGATGTCTCGGCAATATTTGTAGAAACAACTATCTTCCTTCCAGGCAGGCCACCTTCCACTGCCGGTGGTGGAGCAGGCTCGAAAATCTTCTGCTGCATAGCTGGAGGAAGCGTGGAGTACAGTGGAACTATTTTGACTGGTCCGACTTGATCACCAGCATTAGCAAATTCCTTGGTCAATTTTCTACAGGCATCTTCTATTTCCTCTTCACCAGTGAGGAAAACAAGTATGTCACCAGGAGGTTCACAAAGATGAATCTGGAAAACGGTTTTTATTGCAGCTTCAAGGTAATCCCTTTCTGGCTCCTGAGTATAGAAAATCTCAACAGGATGAAGCCTTCCAGGAACTTTCATGAGTGGAGCATCACTGAAGTACCCTTGAAACTTTTCGGCCTCAAGAGTGGCACTCATAACAACTAGTTTAAGGTCAGGCCTGTTTCTCAAGACTTCCTTCAGCAGCCCAAATAGAACATCTGTAGCCAAAGTTCTCTCGTGGGCCTCATCAAGAATTATCACTTTGTATCTCTCCAATAGTGGATCTGTCATGGCTTCTCTCAAAAGCATACCATCTGTTAAATACCTGCATTGTAATAAAAGATGATACGTTAGGGTACAATTTCAAAAACCAAAACTCAACAAAATATAAGATGAAGAAGCTTTGAGGAAAGTTATAAGAAGTCATACTTTAAAACAGTTCTTGAACTGCTGCAATCCTCAAAACGGATACTGTAACCTACTTCCTCGCCTATTGTAACATCCATTTCTTCAGCAACTCTCCTCGAGACAGACATAGCAGCCACCCTACGAGGCTGAGTGCATCCAACCATAAACTTCTTGCGCTTATCAGGACTCTCTATCTCAATTGCATCAAGAACAAACTGGGGAATCTGTAACAAAACCGAACATAAAAATTATTACTCACTTAGCACAAACAATTTATTAAATGCTACTGAATTATCATGCATGTTTTCTAAATAACCAGGCATGTAATAGCATATAGCGTCTAAATTCTCGAAACACATCTGCAAGTATCTTAAGAGACAAAGCAACAGTAACTTAACAGAAGATATCAGCAGGAAATCCCATACGTTTTCAATCAAGGGAAAAATGTGAACTTCGAGATTCTTAAGAAGGTGTTAGCTATGGACACTGCATACACAACTCTAGTTCCAACAAAAAACAAGCACAAACGGTGCCACAAGCATTAACGCGACACTGACCTGCGTGGTTTTACCACTTCCAGTTTCACCGACAAGAATTAGGGTCTGATTGGCCTTAAGCGTCTGCAGAAACTCCTCCTTCTGGTGCCACACGGGAAGAGTCTTCCTCTTCTCCAGAATCTCATAATATCTCTGCGAATAAGGTCTCGAGTTCCACTTGTTTACCGTCGACGGCACCACCGACGAGGCTCCGCCGTTGACCCTGGACAACTTCGATAACGACGTGTCGTCCACCACGTCGAACAGGCTCACCTTCCTCTTCCTCTCTGTTCCCATCTACCTCAGATGACGACGCCGCGGAGCTTTTTTGTGAAGATTCCGGTGGCGGTGGGCTGATTATGAGTGATGGGCAAAGGAAAACCCTAGAGAGAGAAACTGGGAAAGAGAGTGCCTAGGGTTTGCGATGGAGATAAATAAATGAGGGAAGATGATTAATGTCGAAAGGGGAGAGATTCACACATCTGACCATGTTATATAGTTGGGCCACGGCCCAGTTAAAGATGTTATCAACTGTAGTTGTGGATTTGTTGATGGGGAGCTAAACCGACCGAGCCTACTGCATTATTCACGTAATAAGTTTTTAGAGGTCTCAACACTGGGCTTGGGGTGAGGGCGCCCTCATCCGTGTTATGGTTTGGGCCCTCCTAAATAATATTTACTACATTTTTTTAATTTTTTTTTTAATAAAAATATGATATTTAAAATAAATTTAGACATAAACCATCTATAAATGAGTTATAATAATTTAGTAAGTTACAACATCTATGTGTTGGAAATGTTATGTTTTTAAAGGGATGACATATCTTGTTTTTCCTTGGAGTTATTCTGCCAAAGAAAGATGAAATCAAAAGGCAATGGTAGCTATACAGCTATACTATTACTAGCTAACTTCAAACTTTGATAAAGAGAAAATGAATATGCATTGACAGCAAAGCTAAAACTCCAAAGTCGTCACAGTATAGATAACACATTTTGATTCTTCAAATAAAATAAAAGAATACAACCCGTTCAAGCTTCCATCTTTTTTCCCTTTACACTCTAGCGAACTCAACTCAACTCGGTATAAGTAGCTATTGCACTGACCTGCATTCACAAAGTCGAGCGAGCAAATCAACGGTAATTCGCACGAAAACTAATTAGATTAGTCGAAATAAGATGTGTACAAACTTGTAGAAATGGTCAGCTGTCAACCCTCTCGACTCAGGCGCTGGCTGAGGAGCCACACGAAGCCTCATATTCGAACTAGTGATGCAACCAAGACCTGCAAAAACATGCAATTTACTCTAAAAAACAAAAAACACAGCAAGAACTTTGGAATGGTAGCTTCTACAAGTTCAAAAATTTCGGTGGTATATAGAATAATAATATAACTATCACAAAGGACTTGGTTTCTCAAATGATACATCACAAGAATGCACGCATTCAGATCTGCACAATGACTTTCGTCTACAAATTAACGATGCTTTAAACAATAATTACAGCTTTCGCTGTAAAGTAACGATTTTGCAGATGTGCATTTAACAAAAAATAACAATGGAAAGGGAAAATCAAAAGTATAAGGACCATGGATAATGGATTAAATGTTTGGTAACCAAATAAGCTAGCTTATAAGTTTCGTTTGGTAGAACGAACTTTTTCAAAAAGCTTGAGCTTATCTCTTAGGCTTTTTCAAATAAGCTCGTTGAAATTTGTATATCAGCTAACTTATCAACTAATTTTACTGAACACTTTTATTATATAATCTAGTTTTTCAGCTATAAGCTAAAAACTCACTTATCACTAGTTTTACCAAACACAACCTAAATACCTTGGATAATTAGCACTAGAAAAAACAAAACTGTGATGACCATGGCCGAGATGGTGCTGCCGGATGATGTCAAGGACGATGAAGATGACGACGAGGATAGCGGCAATCGACCCACTTTCATCTTCTTCAGAGCTTTTATTCGATAGATTCTCTCCCTTTTCTCCACGGCAATCTTGGATATTTCCTTTATCAGCCGCATGTCCGAAGAATCCAAAGATGGGCTCCTTGGTGGCCGAGGTGGCTTGGGAGCTTTCTTAATTTTTCCGGCTGTTTTATTATCTTTCTCGATATTCGGCACAAGCCCTAGCCTGGAATCATTCTCGATATCAATAGTAACCTCTTTATCTCTCGAGCCACTGTTGTTGATATTGCATTCCATTTTCCATGAAATATTACAAACTGCATTTTTTTTTTTTTAAATCCACGACAAAACCGAAAAAATTACCAAACCCATAGGATTTTAGTTCTCAAATGGCATCATCTCATGTCAAGGTATCATTTTCCCTTTAATTTGTTATTTTTTCTTACCACAGTATAGCTCTCTAGATTCAAGTATTGTCAATCAAATAATCTTGAATATTGAAATATGAAAACATATTTTTAATGATACCACATTCAACATATTTTCCTTCAAAAGAACAACAGATACAGAGGATAAAGATCAAATTTTTAACCAAACAACAACACATATATAGGATAAAGATCATATTATTGACCAAAAGAACAAACATATAGAGAGGACCAAGATCAAATTTTTAACCAAACAACAACATATACAGAGGATTAAGATCAAAATTTTGGCCAAACATTAATGTAGCTGGAACAAAAGAACGACAGAAGGAGAGGACCAAGATCATATTTTTAACCAAACAATATTAATGCAGCTGGAAACATGAATCTCAACAAGGGACAACAAAGATAACATAAAATAGAAGGAAAGCAATAACATTTGCAGGTAAAAAAAATAGAGAAAATACATACACACACACACAGAGAGAGAGAGAGAGAGGGTACCGATCGAAGAAGTAATATGCGGAGACCTTAAAATTGCAGGAAAAAATGGTGGAGAGGAGATGGAAACTGAGGATTTGGTGAAGATTGGAGAATGATTTTTCATCTCTCCTTGCTTTCCATCTCCTTGTGTTCAGAATATGATACAGCACGGACAAGGAGGAGCTCAATAAGAATGGACGGATTACTTCACGAATCGCATATTGTCTAGAGACATGAATTCTAACAGGTAGGGCTGCAAACGAGTCGAGCGGCTCACGAGCTACTCGTGAGCACTCGAGTCAAAGCACGACTCGAGCTCGAGTTTGATCAAACTCGAGTCGAGCTCGAGCAGCTCGAGCACGAACTCGAGTCGAGCTCGAGTGGCTTGTCGAGCGGCTCGAGATACAGTTAAATTATTAAAATACCCCTTATTATATATATTAGCATATGTGTTTGTTTAATGATAATTTTACCTTTCCACTTAAAAATTTTCGAGTCGAACTCAAGCCGAGCTCGAGCCTTTTGATTTCGAGTCGAGCTTGAGCCTAAAAAATTGAGCTCGAGCCTAAAAAATCGGAGCTCGAGCTCGAGCAGCTAAAAAAAACTCAATTCTGCTCGATAAGGCCAATGCTCGACTCGGCTCGTTTGCAGCACTACTAACAGGTAGACAATTATTGTCGTGTATTCCAACAAGAGTCGGGTCGGGTCAGGGCCGGGTTTGTCAGTTTATTTAGTAATTAAAAAAAATAATATGACTATATTTGGTAAAACTAATTGATAAATTCACTTATATATTTTAAGTGAATTTCAAGCTAGTTTATGATTTATGGGTAAAAAGCTAGTTTATATAATAAAAATATTTGGTAAAATTAGTTGATAAACTAGTTGAAATATAAACTTGTAAGTTAATGAAATTAACTATAAACTAGTTTACATGCTTACCAACACAACATATATTCATATTGCTTCATTCCCATTTTAGGTCAAGTCAGTCTTTTAGGCGTTCGGACAACTAAGAGTGCGTTTCTTAAGCTAGTTTTATAGCTTATTTGATAAATTTATAAGTTTACAGTATGCAAAATAATTTGGTTTGACATAACAAGTTTTTATAATAAGTCTATTGAAATTTTATTTCAACTAGCTTATCATTTATTACCTAACACATTCATTATATCAGCACTTTTCAACCATAAGTCATAAACTATCAACTATAAGCTTGAAAATTCACTTATAAGCTATCAGCTAGGTTTATCAAATATAACTTGAGAGTCATTTATGTAGGCCAAACCATGCTCAATCAGTTAGGTAGTTGTGAAATCGATCACATATAGATTGGTTAGTCGGTCTAAGTGGAAACACTAAACTCGCTTAGATGTTAGCCAAGCGAGTTAAATTGTTGCATTAAACCTCTCAATGAGATGCTTGATCAATTAAATTCGCTAACTAATTGGTAAATAGTCTATTTGAAACGCCAAAATGAAAAAATTCAATCCGTGATTATTTACCAAATAACTATTTACATAACGTTACAACAATAAATTAATCAAATTACCTATCACAATTCGTTATCAATCATTCAATATCTCCACATCAGAGTTCATAGTCCAAACAAATTAAAATGAAAAAGTATGAAATGAAAGTGGAAAATAGTGGGAGCAAACTGTTAAACGAAACAATAGTTTGATCCGACTTGTTTGATAAGAGCACCCACAATGCTTTGAGTCTCTTAGACAAAAGTTACATACCATGTAAGAAATAGACCTAGTCTATAAAAAAGTGTTCTCCAATGCAATTAAAAGTGGACCTAGTCTAGCTTATGTGGCAATACAAAAAATGAGACCTAGTCCACACTTGGTTCTATTTTAGACCCAAGTACAAACCCAAGCACTCATCATTTATTCCTCATTTAATTTTTCTTTTAATAAATGAAATAAATTAGAGCATTTTTATTGGTTGTCATGTATTCTAGACCTAGTACTTTTTTGTTTTGCATTGGATAGATTTTGGATTTTTTAGTTTGGGTTTGTCCATGTCATTATGGACTTAAGTCTATTTATTTGCCACATATGCAAAAAGAGACCCAAAGCATTGTGGATGCTCTAAAGAGTTGAGCTTGAGTTAATTTAAACCTCGTTTAGCTAAGGAGCCGTGCTTAGCTTAGTAATATATTGATGGCTCGAGCCACATTGCTCGGGGTTTTGGACAGAGAAAACCCGCTTCGCGAATCCATCTCTACCTGCTCGGCCTCGCCGCCTATGGACGACGAATCTCCGTCCTTCCCGCCCATTGAGCCCTCCAATTTCGACCTCATCGTCGTCGGCACCGGCCTCCCCGAATCCATACTCGCCTCCGCCGCATCAGCGGCCGGAAAAACGGTTCTCCACCTCGATCCTAACCCATTCTACGGCAGCCACTCCGCCTCCCTCCCCATCGACGACCTTGTCCCCTTCCTCAAATCCCAATCTGAACCGCAGACCCTATCTCAATCCCAATCAGAAATCGCTCACGGCGGCGATGGCGTATGTATTACTCTCTCGACCCGCCCTCTCTACACTGATGTAGAGATAAACGCCTACTCACCCGACCTCGTCGGACTTTCTAGAAAATTTAGCCTCGACTTGGCGGGTCCTCGAGTTTTCCTATGCTCCGACTCCATGATTGATTTGATCCTCAGGACTGATGTTAACCAGTACATGGAGTTCAAGAGCGTGGAGGCCTGCTTCTTGAGCGACGCGGAGGGTAAATTGGAAAGCGTGCCCGACTCGCGCGGTGCCATCTTTAAAAGTCGGACCTTGTCCCTGCCTGAGAAAAATCAGTTGATGAAGTTCTTCAAGCTTGTGCAGGGGCATGTTGGGAGTGAGAGCGAAGAGAATAAGATTTCAGAAGAGGATTTGGGGAGTCCTTTTGTTGATTTCTTGACGAAAATGGGGCTGTCCGAGAAGCTAAAATCGTACAGATCGATCCATCTCCTTTCATCTGTCCTTGTTAGTTAGAGTTCACTTGCATCCATTGTTTCTTTTGTGATTCTTATTTTTTGGCTTGATTGGCATAACTGTTCTTCTGCTGTATGTGTTTATTGTATGATTCGCTGAGACAGTTCATTGGACTTTATTTAGCATGATTGATTCATTTTATTGTGTTGCAATGACTTATGGATGCTTGTTGTATATTTGCTGTAGTTTTTCTCTTATTGCCTTCCATTTACATCCAAGAAAGGTTGTTTAATTATTTATTTTCTTTTTAAGCTTTTCTTATGCATTATGTAAATTGATCTGTTGGGTATTCATATTGGCATTTCCAAGCAAGTTCCTACATTGCATGTTTTTGTTTTTGTGTTTTTATCTGTTGACCTTTTAGATTGTAATCTTTCTAAAGTGCATAATATTTATACGCCAGGATAATTTTGTACACAATAGTGATGGCTGATTATGATCAGAGAAACTTGGAAGTTTGTAAAGAGGTTATGGACACTAAAAGCGGGATTAATGGATTGGCACTTTATCACTCGTCCATTGGAAGGTTAGTTTTCACCTTTGTGTTCTACTAGTAACTATCTGGTATTGTGAAAAAACTATTAACATGGTGAAAAATGCTGGAAATATTTCTGGGTAAACAGAATTTATTGATAGCTGAAGTATGAAAAATATAAAATCACTTTGAACATTTGTATTGACATGAGCAAGTTCATCATATTTTTAGCTGACGTGCTCATCTCAACATTCACTAGTCATACTTGGCTAAAGAACTGACACAAGCAAGGGCTTAACTAGAAAGTTTTTGCTGAACATTTATAGGTTTCCCAATGCAAATGGTGCTATAATATACCCCATTTACGGTCAAGGGGAACTCCCTCAAGCTTTTTGTCGCCGTGCTGCTGTCAAGGGGTGCATTTATGTTAGTATAATTACGTATTTATATATTATTGAATGACTGTCCCCATCTGTGTATCATGTATGTGCACTCTTTGCATTCTTCCGATGCCTGGCCGTTTAGTTTATTGCTAATTGATTGTGTTTAGTTATTACTAATTGATAATGTCATTTCACACGTTTCATTGTCTTGTTGTGTTGATTTTGTATACTCAAGTTGCTCAGCACTTACTTCATGTTTCATGGTACAGTTTTTTTGCTTAAAACTCTTTCACATGTCAGTATTATAGCTTTGAAGTCATTTCACATGTCAGTATTATAACTCTTTCATGGTACTAATTGATAATGTCATTTCACATGTTTCATTGTCTTGTTGTGTTGATTTTGTATACTCAAGTTGCTCAGCACTTACTTCATGTTTCATGGTACAGTTTTTTTGCTTAAAACTCTTTCACATGTCAGTATTATAGCTTTGAACATGGAACAATATATAAGCTCAGAAGTTTGTTGAATTTAGAATCCTTGGAGTAATGACACGTGCGTATCCACATATCCTTGGAGTAACTTCTCTTTTGTTAAGTTTGATCAGGAGAGGCACTGAACACAGAACTGGAGAAATTACTAATATTACTACTTTCTATATTTGACTTATGGCTTCTTTTTCTAGACCTTGGTTGGGCAACAAATTATATATATATATATATATATATAGTGATTCATCGTAGTTCGTCAATGGACCAAAATACTAACATTGTAAGGTTTATAAATGATTAAATAATCTTCTTCTGACATGTTCAGAGCTGGAGAAATTACTAATATTACTACTTTCTATATTTGACTTATGGCTTCTTTTTCTAGACCTTGGTTGGGCAACAAATTATATATATATA